GAGTAAATATGACCCAAGCCTCAGACTTTGTTATGTGTAGTTTTGTCTACGATTTGGTACCATATATTTGGAAATATTAGATCTGACACAGGAACATTATTTTTTCTACGGCTATAACACGAAATTGATATTGTTTTACTGTGTTCGATACATTAATGAGGTATTTTGTATGTCATCAAGTTTATTACCGTTTCTGATATCACAATGACTTCATCGTGTTATTATTTCACAAAATCTCATATCCCATGAAAGGTCAAATTTCGAGCAATGACAGCTGTTTTTAATAGATGAGCGATATGAGCATGGCTTAAGGGGAAATCTGATGCTCATACAAGCCGGAGCAATCAAAAATTTCGCTGTTATCTGTTACAGCCGTGGGAAATGACTATCATTTCGTGCTCGTTATACAATATACTATTCGATTCAAATTGATCAGATGTTCCTCTAGAATCACATTTTTTGATATTCGACAGAGCTAGTGGAATATAGTTGGCGTTTTTTTAAATTCGTTCTCATTTTTGAATAACTCGATTGCGAGTTTCCTCCATACAATATCCAAAAAGGAATATTCCTTTCATTTTTCTATTTCAGGCAGGTTAATTCTCACACCTTGAATGTTCTATGCTTCTTGACTCACATCGTTTTAGTATGTTATTGAGTTCGAAAAGCCGAAAGCTGTTTCTGAAGTAGCATAATTTCAAAGTATAATCATTATCGGAATGAGAACTTTAACACAACTTTCCTACAAGGCACTACGAGTTTGATTTACTCCATTTTGTAACGAGGAGAATTTTCTCGAAATAATATGGGAATGAGTTCCGGAAATATTTCACTTTTTTCATGAGCAAGGTGGAAATATATGAGAAGTAAGTATTCGAGCTTCTTTGAAAACTTTTCATTTCTACTACTACAACTTTCATTATGAAACAGATTTTGGTCAATGAAAATACGTTCGTTCCATTCTGAAACGAATATACAATAGATGTATAGAAAGTCATATGATGTTATCACTTCCTATTGAAAGTAGTTTCGAAATCTCTCGATATGGCCTACGATGTAAAAAATAGCGAGGCGTGGGAGAATATTGCTAAATTTCCGAAGTTTCGAACCCAATTAACAGGCATCATGACACATTCATTTGAGTTCACATTTTTATTTTCACAATTTTTTATGTAAATGGAAACGGTGCGTTATATTTTTGACTTCCAATGGTGCATTCATGAAGGACACGAAGTCCTAGAAAAAAATGCTGTGATAATAGTTTATTCACTCACTCTTGGTACATGAAATAAATGTTCGATTCTCAAATTATCCTCACACATTGCAGGAGTCAGTCCATGATGAAAGCACAATATACTCACTCAACTGATAATATAATATCGATACCTGCCTAATAAACTACTAATGCTCTTATTTTATAATATTTCTATTTGACATTGAAACAAAATGTTGAATATGGTGAAAACATGACACACGTGACAGATATGTCAAGATCAAGATGTTTCCGCATGTATTTTGTTGCGCCCTGTCTCTTCTGCGTCCTGTCTCTAGATGTTTCTTATCAGCTATTATTGAATTCGTGCATCATCAACGGGAGTCTACAGGTCCCGGAAGAAGCAAAAAACACATCATTGAAAGTCTAGTTCAACTTCATAATAAGATTCTAAACGCATTTTGAAATGTTTCAAGAAATTCGTATTCAATTGTTCATATCGAGAGCTAGTCTGATGAAACGATTCAAGAGTGGGTACACCAGAGGAATTATAAACATCTCAAATATACATAGAAACACGAACTTGGATATATAATCAAGTTTTGATCAATGTTTCTATATTGGGCTTGTTTAAGCCATTTGACATTTTATTTCAATGAGGGCTAACACTATTTTTATTCTCACCAGTAAGCGCTACTGAAACTTGAGGTCGATGACGATATCAAAAATTTCGCCGGATAGCCATACAGTTTGTGGCCTGTTTTATCGAAAATATTTCGGAAAAAAATATGTGGCTCATTTGAACAAATAAAATAACTCAATTTATGGAAAGACTTGAGCAGACTTGCATGCTTTTACTTTCAATGTGTAATTTTCACATGAGAACAATATTCTAAAACTGGCTGTATCTGCGTGCTTTGTAGATCATGAGAAGCTGTGTGTGAAGTATATTTTCGCACGGAACAAGAATCCGAGTTTTTGTGAAGCATCTTTTGCGATGGATCAGACATGATTTTCCAATGAGAGAGTATTGCTGATGGTAATACCGAGCCTAGATATAGTGTTATTGGTGAGAATTGTGGTACCAGACATTGTTATATCAGGCATACTGAGTTCCGCCTTTCTAGAGAAGAAACAGGCTTGAGTTTTGGTGCCGTTGAATTCAACTAGGTTGTTGGTTCCCCAGGCTGAAATTTCCGCAAGATCTGCATCGTAAGTTATTAGTTTCCTGGGAAAAAATGGGAACTCTAGAAGAGAGAACGCAGTATGGAGAGTACTATCGTCTGCAAAGCTGTGGATAGGGCAAGTGGAGGAACAATGTTGGAGCCAAAATTGAGCCTTGTGGAACGCCACAACTTATGGAGCGATCTGCCTGAAAGAAAACTCGATAAAAGATGGCATAGCTGAGGTGGTAAGCCGTATGATAGTAGTTTGTGAAGCAGTCCTTGGTGCCAAACACAGCCGAATGCCTTCGATGAGCTTCCCAGATATTTGAGTAGCTGAATCTTGATGGCTTTCTCCATCACTTTGATGATGACTGATAGCAGGGCAATTAGCCTCAAGTTGTGATCATATGAAATGGAAAATGCTGGGACGATATCTTCTGGTCTTGATATGGATATGTTGATGGATCTGAGGCAAAAGCTGAGTCCAGAACTGAGTGAAGTGTGGACATGCGTCAGTAGACAGATTAGCACATTGTTTGGTCAGTTTTTTGCTGAGATAGTTGGAACGGTTGGGTTGGATGATTTCCATATCCTACAGAATGTCACAGGTTTGATGAAATGCTTTTTTGGAATACTATCCGTAAGACAGTATCATTTCAATCACAATGTAATTATGATCAAACAAAGATATTCGTGGTTTCTGTGATAACTTCGAGAATCAACCCAATTAAAACGATTAAATAGCAGGAATACAATGTATGCAAAACACACAAAACATGTGAACAAAGTGACCTCATAATGCCGCCATCTTGATTTTTTAACAGCGCTCTCAACGGTCGATCACCTTGCCTTTTGGACTTTAGTTGTTGGACAGGCATTTGTTTTCTTTTTTGGGAATTGGTTGGAGGTTTGCTAATGGCGATACTCGATCGCTCTTATACATAGAATCAATTATAGTGGAAGGAACGTTGATTCTTCATGACGTGGTGTTTTCATTTGGGCGAATTTCCTGATAAAGAAAACATTCCAAGAAATGTCGAAATGAAATAGCTCCGAAACAGTGTCTGTTACAGGCGATCGTTTTGTCTTAATAGAGCCTTCATTCCCGCTGGAAATGTCATTGTGTTATCTCCTATAACGGACCAAATGGACCGGATACTCCGGCATCCAACTGTGTAAAGTGTTCATTGAAATTCTGCCAAGGCTCGCTGTGAAAGAGACATCCACAATACGGAATCAGGTTGTCTAAGTAGAGGAACGAATTTTAATAGAGGATGTTTGGTTATGAAATGGACATTTTTTTATCTCTTGGAGCGCACGAAAGGAAATTTCTATGATGTTCGAAGAACATCGTGCGTACCTAGGGAGGATGAAGAGAGGAGGTAGGTACTGAAATTTTCGTCGAACTTTTGGAGGTTATATTATGTTATATTGGCAGGTTATAAAATGTCACTTTTCATAAATTACTTTTTTCCCGCGGGAAAAAAGTGAGTATTTTTCCCGGATATATATCACATAATATATACACTGTTGATGGCTTTTGTTGTGCCTCCGCTACGCGTCGGGAGACAACACAACCAGGAGCTAAAATCTATCGCTTTTTTCAATCGTATCATAAATAACTATTATATCATAGATTTAAATATAATTCGAACATTCATAAAAATGAGATCGTAAACAAACAAAGTATCACAGACGCAAAAATATGCTTGTACGTGACGATAATTATAGGTATATTACAGACTAACTTAATTATAAATGGATAATTAATTGAAGCACTATTTCATACATTGACATATATAGTTGTGAAGACATATCAGGTATATCAACAAAGACAAATCTGGTGTGTATAGACAAATCGGGTATATTGACAAATTGGGTATATCGATACAAATCGAGAAAATAGACTAATCGAGAAATGTGATGATTCGGGTAGGTAGATGTTTTCGGAGTAGGTATGTTAGCACAATTATTTTGTTGTATACGTGGTGTTTCAATAAAACCTAACCTAAAACGTGTAACTAGCGCCCTCTAGGAGTGTCAGGTATAAAAACATATTCATGCGATGTGTCAGCATCCATACAAAATTCCATCACAATGTTGCCACAGGAAGGAAACACTTGCGATTTTATTCGTCTATACGAACTATTGCATAGGTTTCGGGGGATGTAATTCAATGTTCTGCGTGGCATATAGCCAGGAAAGTCGTTGTTTTTCTCTCGTTATCTACCAATTTCATTCATTTATGAACATTTGTGAGAATGACTGTGAGCCTCTTATGATGCTCAATGAACTTATAGAACTCTTTAGGAAAAGGAGATTATATTTCATAAAACATGAAAACTCTGAAGCTCAAATTATTTATTATCTAACATTCAACTGTTTGCTATGTCAACAGTTGATGTGAACTATTCCACATCCAATGTTGTAGTGTCTTAGGTACTGCCAACATTTATTAAACATTCCATTTCACTTTGAGCATTTTGGCTTTTTCTTAGTTGAAGAAACTGTAGATACCTGAACGATCTCCCATCCCAATTCCCACCGACGCCTCGTGTACCACCTGGCACGGGCGTGCGCCTGTAGCGCCGCGACGCCTGCAACGACGGACGCCCGCGTCCGGGCAGTCAAACGCAGTCCGGGCCGACGTCGAGAGAGCGTCGTGACGACACGGAAACGACGCGTAGCACTCGGTATCGCCATCGCGACCACTTGTCGAACGCACTGATTCCGACGGAAATACAGGGTGAGTCCGTTTTGAATATTTCCAATCCCGAATTGGGGCTTGTCGTATTCGAAAGAAGGATAGTGAATACTTTGAACTTCCATTTTCTCTCATCGTTTTTACAAATAAAAATATTAGTTCTATTGCTGAGTTGCCCCAAAATGTTACTACGTTTGAGAATGTCCCTATCAGAGAGCCTAAATGGAAACATTGATCCATTGTCAGTGACAATGGTTGAAAAAGCGAAATAAACATAAATTTTCATCAGAAATATTTTGTTCATAAATATTGCTGAATAGTCATTTGTACCTATTGTACAGGGTGGGTCAAATTGGACACTTTTAAAGGGGAAGTCCAATTTCCGTACTAGATAGAAAAAAACTGATATTGGTCCTGTTGGTCAATTCACATGATAAACTCAATGGTGGAAACTGTATATCGATATCTGTCTTCGTTTCAGAGTTACAAGGTGTTTTTCGAAGATATGAATTTTCGAAAAGTGGCCTAAACTCATTTTTTTGTCGAAAATTCTTCGTTTCCATGAAATCATTTCCAAAGCATTGTGTTTGTCATGAAAATTGATCCTCAGGCACTCAAATCAGTCATTATATACCTAGTTTCAAGATATAACTCTTCCTTCAAGTAGAACAAGGTATATTCTTGAACAAAATATAATTTTAGTTCCTCAGGAATGATTATTACAATACAATTTTTGCAAAAAAAATATTTATAGCTACTTTTCAAAAATGCCCATTTTTGAAGAACACCTTGTGACTCCGAAACGAAGACATATCTCGATATGAAGTTTTCACCATTGAAATCTGCATGAGAATCGACTCTCAGGCATCGACATCAGTTTTTTTCCATCGAGTTGGAGAATAGGACTTTCCCTTTGAAAGTTACCAATTTGGCTCATCCTGTACACGCAGAAAAACCCAGAAGAGGAATTCACCACACTTTTGCAGTTTGAAAATCGTAGTACTTTTGAATGCGATCGTAGTACAATGCACCTCGGCGATAAGTTAACTCTACTTTCTAATAGTAAACGTAAACTTCAAAATGTGGTTAACAATTTTGGAAATCGGGGAATGAAAATAACCGAAAAAAACGTTATATTTACCTGAACTTATATGTGAAGTTCGGCATTTTAGAGTTCCCTATAATGCCAAGGTAATTTCAACTAACTATTCCGTTGAATATCATCGCAGAGTTCTCTTTGATTCACAATTTTCTCCAGGTAAAACGGTTGTTGAGTTCATCACTGCATTCAGAAGTGTTGATTTACTAGCGACTTAGCATTCATAAATTGAGATGATGAAAATACCACACGCTCTGTCCTTGCAAAGGTAGAAGAAAGCAATAATTATACTTCTTGCAGAGAAATTGAAGAATCATTTGGAATTCCAAATCTAGTGGGTGTGTAAATTTTCCACCTGAATACACATACATATGCAGGATATGTCAATCTTGGCAATATTACCATTTAAAGTAATGTGGGAAACATCAATGTGATCAACTTTCGAAGGTTATTTCTCCCTTGATATACATTTTGGGCTATTTGTTTATTCATCAAACTTAACTCATTTTTCAATTTACTATCACCTTCAGGAAGCTCAGATTACATTCTTGACTCACCCTGTACAAATAACGGCAAAGCTCTGGAATTCATTGCCTGAGGAAGTATTTCTAAGAATTAATAATGTCCAAAAGTTATATATGAATTATAGGGATTTTGTTTCGTGCGCTCGAAGCGATGAAAAAAGTTGAATCTTTGATTTTTCTCTTTTGGTTGTTCAAGTCGCCCATTTTTAAAATGATGAATGAATACTTTTGCATCGTACTGGGAGAATATGAGAAAAAAATCATTCGAATTGATGAACAAGTTGCAGTTGAGAGTTGACACTCTCAAATCATCAAGAATGAACACCATTGAAATAAGAACAAAAACATTCAAAATATGGAAAGATACATCCATCTCAACTCATTTATTTATCGCTGTGACATTGGAAATTTTATCAGCCAGTTGTTGAATCCAAATAAGTATTAGGGTTAAATTATGAAGACTGTCTTCTGCTTCGTTTCAGTACGAAAAAGATTATAGACGTTGAAGATATATAAATAGCTATTTGTGTATTTAGAGCGCAAAGTGATAGAATGCCGCTCGACAAAGAAAGTTACCGCGCGATGCGGAGCGGAGCGCGGTAACACTAACAATGACACTTTGTGCTCGAAATACACACAAGATTTTTTCTACTAACGCAGCTTTTGGAAATAACTTTTCTGAAAGTATGAGCGATTGAAATAGTTGAAATAGTTCTTATCCATATTATCCCATATGTCCAAAGAAAACAGAAAAAAAACTCAAAATAGCTGACAAGCCAGACAAAAAAAAATGTCGGGCCAACCGAGAATTGAAACTGGACCACCAGCGTGGCAACCTGAGCTTCAGACCTCTGAGCCATAGTACAATAAACTTTGCAATCAAATTGAACATTACTCATTGATGCAATGAAATGAAGATGCACTGACTTCCTGATAATAACAAAGAGTTTAAATATATATTTCAACAGATATTCTTCATCGGGAGCTTCTTGTAGAAATTTGTTGGTATATATCTTCAGCGGTGAATGTTTTGGATTTGTCTCGCTTTATATCCAATAGATTGTTTCTTGAGAAATGCGATAAGTTTCAGATACTTATTGATTCCTATATTGATTTTAACATTCAAGCATGTACACGTACCATCGAATATATAGACCAATGAGTTGATGACTTCAAAGTCTTCGATTATTCACCATCTTGAGATGGCACCAATTTATGAATGTATCATATTGTAATTCATATTTCTTCCTTGATTTCTCCGGTCAGAGATTCAAACTTTTGCGCTATCTGCTATATCAGGAGGTGTGTTTGATGATTCACTGTCACTATTTTCCATCATGAAAGAATTGGGGGTTTTCAAGAATAGATAATTATAGGTTACAGAGATGTACGAGCGTTTTTTCAATATTTCCGATCACGAGCGCAAATGCTGTCAAAGAATGACATTTCTGGGAAAACGTCAACTTTGTATTGGAATTTGGAAGCGTCAAAGGCTACTTTGTTGAGCGTTCGTAAAAAAATACAATTTCAGAAGTGTTCATTTCAATCTATGTATTATACATACATGAATTTTGATTCTGAAAATGCCTCATAATATTCATTGGTATATACTCATTCAACTCATTGTATTGATTCTTCTTTAATTTTAATCCGTCTATAAGGAATTCACAAGAGGTATTTCATTTAATAATCATGATTTTCATCGAAATTTGATGTGATGAAAGAATACCTACACAAATACTAACTTAGTAATCATTTCCACAATGTTACAAAGAACGATAAAACATAAAACGAAACAAGTACATTAAGGAAGTTTTTCCAACGAAAATAAGTTGTTCAGGATTTATATTTTGTAATTGCATCTGATTTTTATTTTAATTGAACGTAAAATTTATAAACGGCTGACAAAGGCAAAACTTCAACCAATTAAAAAGATTGCATCGTGTTTTGTATCAGCCTGACTGACTTTATGTAGCCATTATTGCTTGATTCTCTATCCGAACTTTTCCAATCAGAAGAGAGCTTTAAAAATGGTGATGAGTAGGTATAGTGTGATCAATATTGTATATTCTTGCAGATAAGATGTTCCGATGAACAACTCGAAAACATGAGAAACAAATAATGACCACAATTTTGGCAATTATTTTTTCAACCTGTTTCGATAACTATACTTCCATCATCAGGAGAAGATGAGATAGTTGAACATAATAAGTATAACTTCGAAATCCTGAAAATTTTTCAGTCATCCAGCAAAAGGCTGGATTTTACAATTGTGTACGCTGATGCAGGTTGATATTGAAAACACAATGATTGAATTATCCGGGTGTACCAGGATCATGGTACACCAAACCATCTCGATGAACTTAATTTGATGATCACGAAATTTGACATTTTGGACAGGATTCAATTTTAATTAGCATTAAATCTGTCTATTTCATGAATACATCAGACTCGATCAAAATGATAGTCATGACATGGAAAATCAAATATTAAATCAAAATCAACATTGGAGTTGGGAATGTCACTCATTATATGTGGTATCATTGGATTCCGGAAATGATGAAGAATTCGAGAATGCAATGTTAATCAGGGTGTTCCATTTGAAAATCAAATGTTATTACCACTTCCGGTGAAATAAAACATATTTATGTCAAAATATAACGTTTATCAAGTTGATGGATCATTTAAAATTTCAATCAAAAAAATGGGGTGTACCCTGATCCTGGTACACTCACCTCAAAAAATCAAGCTTTTTGTATATATACCGTGTGTTTCCAGAATGGAACAATAAATATAATGGGATTTTGTTACTCTTCCACCATAACACACTTTTTCGTTCGGCAACATTGTGGAAGTCTTAAATATTTCCAGTGTGAGGTTAGAACTCTCCGAAAGCTAACACTCTGGTTCGACTATCAACTATATTGATTTTATTCCGAAAATATATACTTTTATTTTGTCTTGTTTTTTCATTTCCTAGTTATCGGATATACGAACTTTTTTCATTTTGTTGATGTGCCCAATGACCGTTGAATGAAACATTAGGCATAATAAAAGAGTAAGCTATCTCAGGAAAGCAAAACTTAATCAATATCTCAGAGTCTCTGGAAAGATAGTGGAAATATACAAGAAAAAGTTTATGTTCTGATACATCAAATCTGAAATAAGGGCCCTGCCCTTCTGCAAAAAATTTCATCTGAAAAATTCGAATTTCATTGAGCTATAAACACAGTCGAAGAAAAAAACATACAATTTGCGCACACATATACACACTCAGACTCCAGAAACGGAAACGTATAGGCCCAAATCGTATCGTTAAATTTTATTCTTACATTCGTTTTTCCTACAACGGACACAGAAATGAATAAGGGGAAATGGGTGCTTATCCTAGATAGGCCAGTCCTCACTGAAAATCTTAC